TCCTCATTCCCACAACTATTTGACTGGTCATCTCTGTCTCCCACATTCCGTGTACCTGTAAACATTGTTGCTCCGGCTGTTAGGAGACGCGTCGGCCTCATGACTTCCGAAGACTGTTGGCTTTCATCTTGAGGAATTATAATTCTTCCTCCAAACTAGAGGGCAGAGTTTAAATGGTTTGAATTATTTTTTCTGGTTAGTGTTTTTTAGCGAGTTGCTTTTCTATGAGGTACCCAACCCTCGTCCTCTACCCGGACGTGGAACCGACAATGTCTCTAGAAGAGCTACATGCGGAGTTAATTAACATTTGTGGCCAAATAATTACGTTAAAGACACGTGATGAACAGGACAAAAAGTGCACACACACACACGCTCATATAAAAACAGTCAAGGTTGAAAAGTGAATAATTAACACGGCCAGAACGTATCTCAAGAAGTAAAGATAAATTGGTCTGTCCAGGGACTAGAAAAAGGTATGTGGGCTTGACACAGTAGCCGACACTACATGACCTCCTTGCAGAAAATAGCTCATTTATTTCTAAAAATGTCTGTCTTCGAAAATAATACTGAAAGAATATGTGGTTAAAAGTTAACAACAAGTAAAGAAAAATTTTGTCACGAGAGGGGTGAGTGTATTATACGAAACTGTCATTCTTATGTAAAAATTTACACGTATATCGTTAAAATGTGGGAAAATGGAAATGTTAGCGTATTATTATGAGCAAATTATTAAGCGTACAAAAACTAATATTTGTTTATTTTGTGACTGTCTGGACGATAAGATAACATGTTTGTATGGGCGATTTGAAATATCCTGAAAACAGAGTAGTAAATCGATTTTTTGGGTATGACGGCGAAATAAATTGTGAAAATAAGTAGGATTGAATATGACAGAATTCGGTCTGTGGTCTCGATTGAATATGAGGATAAAGAACAATGAAATATGAAGACGTTCTGATGAGCCGCAGTAGAGTAAATACCGTCCATCAGATACGAGTGGATTTGAATTTACACACATTGAGTTCCTGTTTGTAGAATAAGACCATCGGGGGAACATATAAGCATATATATCTAGACATTGTTACAAGGAGCAAAAAGAAGCGTGCTGAGAAGAAACTACCTATAAACAGTACTGAGACACATGAATCTGCAGGTTCAGTTCCGGTTTCACATATTAATGTAATAGAAACCATACGGGAGCCAAGTCTGAGCAGTGTAGAAGAAGTGATCAAGAGACAAAATAAGGTAAACAAGTGGCTCACAGTTACACTTGCGTAAAAGAAAGTAAGAAAACAGAATGTAACATCTGCGTTTGATGCTGAATTGAAATTGGAGTGCAAGAAAGAGACGATTTCAGTAGTTAAAATTCCACAGCGTGTGAAGACAGACCTTACTGAGGGGTCAGTCATTTTTCATAAGTTAGGAGAATCTTCCGATAAGGGACCAATGGTTTGATTTGAGCACCACCTCAGTCTTATTAACCCGACCATTGGTGCTACCTTGACGTGGTGGTCGGGCTTGCCTATCGTGATGAACCAATCGAGCTATACTGGCTGGAACAATCTTTCCTCAAAGTCATACCGTGCCAGACAAGTCGGTTGAAGAGCGGTAAGACTAAAAGCAGCAATCCCAAGGTCCGAAGGCGAAGCCGTACTGCTGACTGTACAGAGGTGTGACGTCAGGAAGGTGTTTTTTTTTCAGACAACCAGCATAATAGCGATGCTGCCTTCCCACAAGGAGGGGTGGGGTTAGTAAAGGTCGACCCTAAAAATGCCCAACTCGCCTTATCCCACGGATTTCCGTCTCCGGTGATAAGTTCCTTCGAAGAAAAGAGCTAACACGTCAAAAATCCCTCCCTTCCACTGCGTTCATTATTTTCTAAAGAAACAAGAGTAGTCTGTACTTATTATGAAAGCATTGAATTCGACCATATCAACAAGACGTGTTTTCAGTACGACTTAAATGAATATCATTAATGTCGACTGCCAACCAATGTATGGTATTAGCGATTAAAAAACCGTACAATGAAGATTACTATCCGTTGTATTCTCCGTCGGCTTTTTATATTTCCCAGTCGTCTAGAAAAAGAAATAGAACGGAAGTGTAAAAACATGTAGAAATAAACTAGTACGTGCACTAGGACACAAAACGTGGGAAAAAAGTCGTACAATTGTTATCTTTGAGATATTTTAAGAAAGAAATATACACATATATGAGCATATCATTGGTTGTTTTTGCTTCTTTATACAACAGTACAAGCAAACGGGACAAAAGAAATAGCTATCTGGTGTCCTAAGAGCAGTAGTAGGCTGTGTTCCGTAAACCTAGCGCTCCTTCTACAGTGAGTTGCTTGGGTTGGCTTTCGGGTATCAGTGAAGTTTCGTCGCAGTTGTTGATTACCGAGTAAGGCATGGAAATTTTGAAGCTTGTGTGGTTGTACAAGAAGAAAATTGACATTATCAGGGAGTCGTTCGTAAAACATGAACTTAAGACGACCAGTCGTTAGCTCCAATCGTATCGATGATATCGTACTTAAGATCATGCTCAAGAAATTTGAAGGCTTCTTTGTATGCCATTTCGAAAGGTCGTTGAAATGAGTAGCGACGTATGAAAACATGTGTGCTATTTCGTTAAGCAGGTTGAACAAAAACATCAGTTGATCGAAGTTCAACGAAAACAGGTTCAACTGAGAGCATTCGTTAGCCTGCTCGTGTAGGAGGGTAAATCCATATTCATTGAAAAAGATGGAGGATCCACTAATTCTCCTGGAAGTCGAAGTGTAGTTCTTTAAACGAACTGAGCAGCAGTGTATCCAATGTCAGTTTTCACGGCGTTGCGAATACCAGGTAAGACGAGTGAAAGGGCGTCAGTTCAATGTGAAACGTTCACTGTAGAACATGATAACCTCGATTCAGTGTCTCACAACCGTCTCGAGAACAATAACAAGGGTTTTCAGGTGTGGTTTACACATTGTAATAAGACTCCAGTGACTAACCCGTCGGATGCGTCCATGTCGGCACTAATGAGTGCCTTGACGTCCTGGTGTGTGCGCATAGTTGCTGTTGCGATGAGTTCCTTTATTGTGGAGAATACTTTTTCCGAGTCGTCGTGATTGTTGATTTTCGCGTTTCTACGAACTTGGTCGGTCAAGGGTTCCATGAAAGACGCGCTATTCGGTACAAACCATCGGCAGAAACTTACTAGGCTGTTGGACACACGTAATTGCTTGGTTGTGGTCGGTAAAACTGTATTTCTGCAGTCGTTCGAAACAAGGTCCAGATGTTAGAATTAAGATTCTCCGTCCGGATTTACGATCATCAACATACGCGTGTACGAAATTGAAACATCATAAAACGTCACCGATGAATCTCTGGAGAATCTGTGCAGCATTTTTTAAAACCGAAATGTATGTGAAGAAAATTGGTAGAGTTCAAGGAAGTAAATGAATGCTGTTCGATAGATATCGTCTTCAGCCACAAGAAGTTTTCATACACTTTAGGCAGATCGATTTTCGAAGAAAACGGTTGTACTGTTCAAGGTAGCTACCAAATCGTGAATGTTAGGCAATAGGTAAGGATCAGAAACGGTTTTCTCGTCCATTCGCTTATAGTTTCCATATGGATGCGAGTCGTTGCTGTCCTCTTCAGAGATCGTGTATAGAGTAATGCCCATGGACTGTTTATTGGCTGAATGATTCTAAAATCTGTCATGTGGTTGGATCCGTTTTTAGCCCACCTCAGCTTGTCAGGAGCCAGTTGTCACGCTTTCGAGAATACAAGTGGTCCTGTAGTCGTGATTGGATGCTCAACATTGTTGGTTGCACTCGGCAGGTTTGGTAGTGCTTGGTATAGTTTGGGGTACCGATCGAGTATCTGTTGGTAGTACGGACCGACTGTATGTCTTACTGTGACTGAGGACAACCTTTAACCGAAAAAAGAAGTTGAACAAGCAGATAATTTTGAATTTCCATCTTCTAATCTCCGTTTGCGCGTATCGGTGGGCAAATTATTATGTTCTGACAGGTCTATACCAATGATTGGCATGGAAAAATTTGCAACAACGAAGATCCAGTGGATGGGTTTGCGCAAACCTACGTTAAAGTACACATATCGCTGACCGTATGTAGCTATCGGTTTCTCATTTGCCAACTGTAAGTTGAAAACTGCATCGGGCAGTTAGTTGTTAGAACTTGAAGGAAAAACGCTAACTTCTGCAACGGTGTCGACGAAGCAGCGAACTTTCGTCATCGCATCAGCGAAGTACTGCAGATTGCGAAAGAGTCTTAATCTTAAATGACTCGGAAGTCTGTCCCATCATGATGAATATTAAGTACGCCGATGAACGAGGAAAACGATATCCAAAAGTGTGAAAAAGATATCACAGTAAAAAACAACAATTAGGAAATAATGTTAAGTGTTCCAACAAGGAAGAGACTCACAGTTCTCGAATTCGGACACCAGATCACGTTGGTCCCATCATAAAAGATGCCACAAGTATTCACAGTCCTGACGACGCATTAACCAGTAACACCTTTAAAATTGTAATATGCCAACCCAGTTAAATCAGAAGACAGGAGTGAAGGAGTTTGAAGATATATTTGGAAGGTTATCAGTATGTCAAAAAAACGTTTGGTCTAAGCTGGCTAATAGTTGAAGGGAATGTGTAGCATGGCGTACCCACTCGTGATCTGGTGTGAATGAGTGACCGAGCACCTTCAACTACGATCTCTAGTAAAGCTAATGAGGTCAGCTTGAATGTCGAAATCCCACGGGACTATTTTTGAGTGACACGTGTTCGGTGTAGCGCAGTCCACAAAATATAAGAAAGGATACATGTTGTACATTTTAAGGGATTAATTAAAGACATTACCCAGGATTACCGTATTAAACTTTCATTTGACTAACGAAGTAGTGCCTGCACAACACGTGTCTGATGACACAAGTGTATAAATACTGATCCGACTGAGCTGTCGATGTTTCAGTTACAGTCTATTTTGTGAAATGTCTGATCGCGAGTCTAGACTTAGAGCTATCGAGTCAGCCATCAGGGTTGTACCGAATTTTCCACAGAAAGGCATTCTCTTCCGGTATTTGGTTCTTTTCATATAATATGTACTTATACCTATGAAGTGACTTCTTTGGAGTTCTCATGAATCCTGTCTTAACTCAATACCTATTGGATGAATTATATTATGTGGCTACATCCGAGGCAGCTGGTAAATCTAAAGTAAGTTGTGTTACACGCTGTTTAAAGTACGTTAGAAAATAGATGCTGTTGTGGGCCTCGAGTCGCGCGGCTTTCTTCTTGGACCAGCACTTGCCCTTCGTCTGAACTGCGCCTTTGTCCCTATTCGGAAAGCAGGAAAACTTCCAGGTCCTTGTTTCTCTCATCGATATACATTGGAATATGGAACCGTAAGTTTATGGTAATGATTTGTGACATAAAAAATTGTTATTTTTGCAATTAGTGCCACACAATTGACGAAGTAATATTTCGCCCGTGACATGTGTAATAGAAGACTTGGTGATTTCTTTTGCTAGCTAAACTGACTAATCAGTCAGTTGCAACAGTAGTTGCGTGGCTCATTGTTTGATTTCCTAACAATATAAGGTCTGTATACTCATGATATAAGATAGTTCCTCTATCTACAGTAAAATAAAGAGTGCAACCACTCCTCAAATGGTAGGTTGGAAAGTATAGCTTCCATTTAGAGTCACTCACAATGTCAACTCTATTCTAAGTGTAGGTTTATTACTGAATCCAATACCCTTTGTAAGTCTTTCGCAGCAGTCTTGATAGTATGGCAAAGAGTCAGATGTCTATATGAATAGCAATTTAATTGATATTTATGCTTATTTCACTCAACATAACTCTGCAACACGGCCTTCATTATCTTACTGTTTATTTGTAACCATAGGATACTGTAGATATGCAAAAGGATGTTATCAATGCTGGCGATAATATATTATTATTGGACGATGTTTTAGCCACTGGTGGAAGTCTTGAAGCTTGTGTTAATTTGGTAAACCTATCTGGAGCTAAGGTTTTATTCAGCTTGGTGTATATGGAACTGAAAAGTCTGTCTGGACGTAAAAAGCTAGAAGATCTTAGCGTTCCTGTTTATTCACTTTTCAACATTTGAACATGATGCCGTGTGTAGAAATTCCTTATTCGTGCCCTTTTTATTACTTGACACCAGTTATTTTTTCTTGCATATCTGAAATACTTTTCATCTAATAAAGCATAACATGTTATTGTTGGTTGTGAAGTGTATCTCTTAAGTAATTCGGTTCACTGCTGTATGTAGATGCTTATCTTAGCTGACTAACTTCCCCATCATTTTGATTTCAACTGTTTGGAAACTTTGCTTGTATTATCAGTGAACGTTATTTTAAAAAAAGAATGGAGTCGTTACAGCGAAGAAAGTTTTTTTTCGACGATATCATTTCCTGAAGTTTCACTATTGACTTGATGGGTGATTTTTTACACGTACTAGTCTGTATTAATATAGGGGGGTTTTACAATATTATGGAAGATGGTCAAATTTACTCAAGTAGAAGTCAGTCACAATGAAGTGATGTCACATAATATAGCCGTTGTCAAAAAACCTTCAAATATTTTTCGTAATAATATGTAAACCGAAGGGTATTAGTTCAATGTAATTAAAGTTCACAAGTATTGTATAAAGAAGGTTGAGTCATCTAATAAAGTTATCAACAATCATCAAGTGCTCGTGGTATGTAAGTAGTTTTGGAAGCAATAAAATGTAATGATCTATGGAATGAGAGATGCAGATAAGTGTCTATTTAGTAAAGGAGGAGAACCAGATGATAATAATTAAGCTCACTTCCAACTATACGGATGGTTATCAGTTAACTGATAGGTTCATTTAGTGAAATAAGCCACTGTCCAAAATTATCAGTTGAGTGAAAGTTCATTGTATATGACTAAGGTGAATGATTTAGAAGTGATAGTATCTGACCGTCATTATACAGCCAGTCGTGTTAGTTAGTTCTACAAGCCTCCATTGTGAGTGTTGGTGGGTGTTAACAGAGGCCGTCGTTTCATCAGATTAACTTTAACAGTTTGTGTGGTCGTGAAGATAGATCCAAATGTTTGGTGTTCTAGCGTGGTTATGTTGTATCTGCAAAGTGAATACTAGTTTTTTAGTGCTATTTGGGAATGTGAGATCATTGCTAGAGCGGAAATTAAGATAATCATCGTGTTATGAAGGAGGATTTAGCGATAAATGAACAAGGCTTCTGGTTATCAGAACAGAACACTGATAGACAAGTGATGTGCAGTGACACGATGTAGCAGGATGATTTCTTCTCATGAGACCAGATTACTGACGTAATTGTCGAATGAACAGATATGAGAAGACGAATTAGCTATACAGCAGAGTAGGTTTCTAACTGAATAGATTAACACACTTTGCACATAAGTAATATGACTATACTTCACGAACGTTCGGACAATACCAATTTTGTATGTAGCTCACTCCGGTGAGTTCAGACTGAACAGTTCTGTCTAATTTATGTGTGTCTTGTCATTATGATGATCCCGACAGTAGCTGCTACCTTGACGTGGTGGTTGGGCTTGCCTATCGTGTTGACCAAACCGGGCTATATTGGTTGGAACATATGTTCCTGTAGGTTCTACCGTACCAGTCAGGTTGATTGGAGAACGGTAAGACTAAAAGCGGCGACCCAAGGTCTGCAGGCGAAGTCGTACTGCTGACTGTAGAGGGGTGAGGCAGTAATAAGGTGTTTCCCTCAGACAACCAGCATTTGCAGTGGTGCTGCCTTCTCACGAGGGAGAAAGGGGTCAGGAAAGGTCAACCCTAAATATGTCATACCTCACGGATTTCTGTCTCCGGCGGTAAAGCCTTTTGAAGGATGGAACTAACACGTTAGAAACTTCCCACAAAAAGACCGTGCGTGACCGGCCTCAAGCAATTGTCCGTTGGGCTATAAGGTCACGCTCTCCCGTCTTTAAGACCAACATTAATCTAACTTACTCTTCAGGTTCCTTAAGAAATACCCTTCCACGGTGTGGGCAGCCGGGAAGTGATATCAGCCCTCATACCCGTAACAACACACAAGACCAGATTGGTCACATTCGAATCCTTCCTACACCCCCTAATAACTTTGATTGTAATGCTCAAGCGGGTAAACTAAGCGAAAGGGAAAGACACCTAGGTGGATCTTATGGCATCGTGACTTGAAGAACAGATAATGGTGACTGTCTGTTGCAGCTATTCTCAGACAACCGCCTGATTCTAGCAGACAATAGCTTTAAGTATAAGGAAAAACATCTTTTGACCTGGCGACCCCCGAATTCGTCCAAATGTTTGAGGGGCTCGATAGAAGACTGTCGCTCGTTCTGGAGCACGTGCTTACATTCAGATCATGCTTTAGTGCGAGCGCGTATTTGTCCCCGTCTTACTGGACGTAAGGAAGACGTTGCAAGTAAACCTCTTAAGGTTCTACTTAATGTTAGGCAAGCTAAGAATATATTTCATGATCAACTAGGAAAACAGTCAGGCAGCTATGTAAGTGATGATGCTACTGCGCAGCAGTTCGCTCTGTTCTACTTTACGGCTGCGAAACATGGCCATTAAGAGTAGAAGATACTCGTAGGTTACTAGTATTTGACCACAGATGCCTTAGAAATATTGCTCGCATCTACTGGGATCACCGCGTAAGTAATAATGAGGTTAGATGCAGGGTATTAGGGAATGATGGTAAATCAGTTGATGAGGTGATGAATCTTCATCGACTGAGATGGTTGGGCCACGTGTTACGTATGCCTGAACACCGATTACCACGACACGCAATGCTGACTAGTATTAGAGACGGTTGGAAGAAGGTTAGGGGTGGCCAAACCAAAACATGGATCAGTCCACAAAGTCACTAACTTCTAGTCTGAGCCATGTTGGTAGATGCAGACTACTTGGTTGGGGTTCGCGTGATTATTGTAACCAATGATTGGAGACCCTGTGTGACATGGCTCAGAATCGATCACAATGTCGTAAGTGTATACACTCTTTATCTTCCCTTAAACCTTGAGATTAAAATTGCTTCATAACTTTTTTCCTTCCTATACTATATCCTTATATACAACCTTTCTTTATATGCTACCACCACTAAATTAACTAATTCTATGAATCCGGTGTTCATCTTGTAGTGCTAACGAGGTATGGCAACTTGGACCGATGCATGTGTGTGCCTGGTCCTACGTTGTAGCTGACTGATGTAAATGATGCACACCCCGAAGCAGCTTGGAATGATATCCGAAAAGCTGTGAAAACAGCAGTGATATCTGCTAATGAGGTAAGTCATAAGGTTAGGGAGAAATACTGGATCTCAGAAGCATCTACCTCACTGATAGATGCTCGTAAACCCATCCCATCTGTCTCTGAACATGACGAAAAGGGGAGTCAGCTTAACCACAGGCTGATAAGAAGCCTACGCAATGATAGTGAACAGTGGTGGGTAGTGAGATCAAGAGATATGGAAAAGGCAGCGGTGGTGTAGATATTTATCAGAGTTATCGTTGACCTGATCTCATTCTGTTTGCTATTAACATGAATTCTTCATCAGACGTATAACAACTGTGTGATTTGATATTTTGTGTTTGTACGATTCCCTATGAATGCCTGAGTTGTACAAATTTAATTTTTATTCGTTCTAATAATTAGTGCAACAAAACAAGTGACAGTCAATCGGATCATTGTGAATTCTCGATAACTCTGGTAAGATCTGACAACAAACGATATGAGAGTATCATGATATTGAATGTAATAGCTTTAGTTTATAAATGATTATGTGTTTTGTTTGTGATTGTTATCCACACATGTGTTGATATGATGTCATGTGTGTAGTTCTGATATTATTAATTAGAATTATCAACACAGTGTCTTCAGGTAATAAACATCCTTATTCCATTTATTAACAATGAGTGTCTGTAAATAGTTTGTCAGGAAGTGACATCGGACAGATATTCAGTGGGTTTGTAGTTCTTCATCAAGGACAGACTGTCTATCTAGCTAAACTTACTCTGTGGTATTAACCACGAATTGAATAGCTTCGATAAACCTTATATGCTAACGAGACATATTATCCTTGATGTATTGCGTAATCACCATATTAATAGGCGTTATGAATTTTGATTGATTACAATGACGTTATTTTCCTCCACTCCAACGCTATCAGCATTTATTCCGAGTAATGAATATCATTCATTTGGTTCATGATCCTATTGACGTTATAATTACTTCCGATATCCATGTAATTCATATCAACATTCAAGAAAATTTCATATTCTGTGCATATTAGTGAATGTACATTTCAGATATTAATAGGACTGGATTCATCGAAAACAGTCATAATTTTGATTATGAAATCAATTCATGGTACTCGAACTATAGAACTAGCAAATAATTTATTGAAAGTATACTCTTTGTTTGAGGTGATTCAACATTCATGTCGAAAGTAATTATTGTACGCAGCACTTTTTGTGGAGATAATCCTGATGTTAAGTATTTTGTACAAAGATTATACTATTCAACAAACTGTTTTCTGGTCTCCAAACGTAAAACCTAAAGGTTTGAATAGTCGGCAATTTAGTTAAGTATAGATGGTTCAGAAGTAGATATCAAGATTAGTATTATGTTTAGTGAATATGTTAAATAGCGATTAGGAAAGATAGAATGTGTGGGCAGTTGAACCTTCAGACATCCTGTATGAATTGGAGAGCTATAATATCTTAATTTGGTAAATTGTAGACTTTTCTTTAGTTTCTTCAGAAATCTTCGTTTAGTGGGAGTTTTTTCAAAGTGAAGCATTAAAGAATAAATAACTTGGAGATGATTTACTTGGAGTGGATCAACGAACCAGTGATATGACTTTGAGGATATACTTCGAAATGTTTGCTTATAAGAGGTCCGAGAAAATAATATTTAACCAAATCACTGGTCCGGGTGAACAATTTCTTTGTGAAATGACTGAATTTATGTTGGCTATCAGATCTTACTTCCAACTGATTACTTAGTTAAGATAAATAGACATAATAATAAGTAAATAAATAATATCACTAGTGTGTAATTTAACCTAATGAACTTTACGTAGATGTTATTACAAATATATTTTCTGTATTATTTTAATTCATTAGTATTGATTAGTACGTTGGAATGTTTGCGAAGTGTTAGAAAACACAGATTTATATGTAAATATATGTGTGGATTACTTCATAAAAATTAAAATTTGTTGAGTTCTTGAATGTTATGAATTTCATATGCTTAGAAAGTATTTCTGAAAATGATTTCTCATACTTTCAAAGGTTTTAAAGAATTCATTTCACCCATAGGAAGAATTAATGAAAGAATTCATATATGCAATTAAGGTTCGGTATGAACAAATTAAAATATACTTGTTTTTCTACAGAGTGTGGTGTTTTGTATTCGATATTATCCTTAAACTTCGTATATTGTTCGCCCTGATAACAGTTACTAGATAACGCCCCAATGGTGTATAAATATCAGAAGGCAAATACGAAGTGTTGATTACGCTTATTATTGCACCAATCAGAGGTTACCAAAATTACAGGCGCGTTAAGCAAGTGTGAAAGAGTAGTGCCGAAATGCACACGAGTGAGCGTGCGAATCAAATTAGCGAGCGAGTGATCGAGTCAATGAACGAGTATGCGATTCAATGAACAGGATTAAAATGTACATATATATACATATGGAAGTGAATGAATCATCGAATCAATTAAGTGACTAATATAAGACTAGCAGAATGAATATATGCGTAGTGGGTAAGCAATGCTCAAGCACACATATTCATACAAGTGCAACAATAGTAAGGGTACAATATCATAGATAGGTTGTTATTGTACGAATGACACTGTCCGTTAACAAAAGGGCATAAGCAAACTAAATATGAACAAACTCAATGGTACGTGAGTTGCCACAAGAGCATCAATATCACATCACTATGTTTAGTGAAAATTACACAAAAGGAATATTGGGTTTAAACGTCTGCAGTTAATTCAATCACAACTTCATATCAAGCTGACTTTTAATCTATTTTATTTAGCATATAATCAATCCTTGAAAATTTATATTTTGTGTAATGAACGTTTAGTATTTGCTTTTGTTTATTTTGGTTGATAATTTAGACTATTACTGTAAATTTAATTGATTTATGTGATTTTTGAACATCTGATAATAATACAATACATTTTCATACTGTTTACTTGTAATTTGAGTTCATGATTTTTCCCTTTTGGATTTCTAGACTTATTGGGATTAGTTGTTTGGTTAAATTATTTCAATTTCACATCTCGCATCACAATTTTCCTGGACATTTCTCACGATGGACTATGGACCCTCATAGAACTGGTCTTTATAATCTTCGCTGCCATCATTGATGGGCGCGCGGCGCTGAATGAAATCCATTATAATCTATTCTTTGTTCTGAAGGATACTTCTATGATCCTGGGTCCATGAAATTTCCGTCATATAAGCGCTTCCTGTGCTCCTTTGGAGAGAGTTAGTGGAACTCTATATGTGCGCGAGGCATTTTCTTCTTCGTGACGAAAATATAACGAAACCTCTTCCAAAGCTATTTTTTCTTCCCAGCTTGTGCCTAATGGGTTTCACTCATTTAAAGGAAAAAAGATTGCGTTATTCATTTCTGCAACTATTTGAATGACCCTACCAGTCTTCTACATAGCGCAAACATTTTTTGTACCCACATTAATTATTACTCTGGTTGTCAGAAGGGATATTGGCCTCGTGACTCTTGAGGGATCTCGGCCTCCACCACGAGGCTTCACTACTCTCCTTTATGGAGACCCCTCAACCTTTAAGACAGAGCTTCAATTTTTGAAGTGACTTTCTGGTCATCGTTTTTTTTTATCGAGGTTCTATTTTTCTGGAAGGGGTTGCTAACCCCATACCTGACTACCTTTATCCGGGTTCGGGACTAGCAGTAACCCTAGAAGGGCTTCAGGCAGGGTTGATTTCACCTCACGGTAATTTTCTCAGAAATGCGTATCTTCAAGTACAGATAAAAGGTATTTCTGTTTTCGAACTCCAATCAAAATTGTCTTACTTCAGAAACGATTTCTCAAATGCTTTTTATTATACCTCCTTACAGTAACCTACCGAGTCTGTGATAAACTGTTCCTGCGATATCTGAACTTATCTAAAAACCATTTTGGAAGGATTGAGTATTTCCCTGTCTTTGTGAGTGAAATTTGGTCCGCAAATAGTTGTAGTTGTGAGCTATTTTGTTGATTTATGTAACATTTTCAATATACTTCACTTGAATTGCTTGTATCCACTTTGTAGGACTTTCAGGAAAATCTCAACTTCTTTTTGCGGTTGTGTTTACATCACGTTACATGGATTTGTTCTTCAATTTCATTTCACTGTATAACACCATCATGAAGCTTTTCTTTATCATTTGCTCTTGTGCGACCGTCTACCTCATGTATTTCAAATTCAAGGCTACCTACGATTCTAATCATGATACATTTAATATGTATTTGTTACTGATCCCCAGTCTGCTACTAGGATTAGTGGCCAATTACGAATTTTCTTTATATGAGGTAAGGCCTTCAATACAGACTTTTCGATTATCATTTTGATAATTTGGCTGAAACTGATACAATTTACTGTTATGTAGCACAATGGTGAATCAGTTTAGACTGACTCACACCGAACGATCCAAAAAACTCAGCTCTCATAACGACACTGATTACATAAAACAAGAAACAAAACCGAAACAAGACTAAGTAAGTAACTCTGAAATTGTAATTCCATTGTCCAAATTAATTTTAGAAGTTATCCATCCTCATCGCTATAACTGATTAAAGTCCATATCACTTGATATCTCCAGCTGGTTAATTATGCTATATATGAACATAAAGCTTGATGTTTATTACACGTTCGAGATAAATTTTAAGGTACCTGTAGGATTATTCTCGTACTCTCGATAAATTACTTGTATTTTCATAGCAAAGCCAACTTTTCATGTTTAGGTAGGAAGTGGATAAACATACAGTACATCCTTCTGTTTTTTAATCGAGCCATCATTAATAGGGAACTTAAAATGAGTGTGTTTGGCTTCCATAAAAAAGCAAACTTCATAATGTTTCGAATACTGAAGCATATATGAATGGAGAATATTTCCTTCCATAAAGCCTCACAAGGTTCCACAGTTATAAATGCAAATGTAGCAGTGGCTCAAGGATTAAGGCGTCCGACTTCTAGAAACTAAGTCTCATGATCGAACCCTACCCCATCTGCTTCGGTTTTGTCAACCAGGTAGTATCATTAGCCTCCGCAGTTTGTTGCTCATATTCACATACCTAATAAATGAGATTTTATTTTCCATAAGCCAAAATCGTTCATAAAAAGCATTAGCCTGATTTAAGGTAAATACACCTTTCGAAGTGTGATAGAAATTGAGGATTTTCGGTAAAATGAAATGGTTATCATTTGTAAACGTTGGAACGACCAGGATGCAATGTACACCAGTCAATTTGTAGGTCTATCAAAATTGATTAAAATTTAGAATAACAAAATGCAATTTCTGTTGCTTTGTTTTCTGTTTAGTGTGTTTCATTACTAACTCTTAATGTGAACTGTTTTACACCATCCTTGTTAAGTCCGATTACTAGACCATGAAGTATTAATCAATCATTTGTATGGGATATTGCATACAATGGCAACATCTATGTAATACTTGTTTTATTTTCCGCTTATTCCAATAACGCTCTGAATTTTAATAATAATAATAATAATAATAATAATAATAATAATAACGGGAAGTACTCGGTCAGTTATTATTGTTCTCATTTTCAGTTGTGGTCATATGAATGTTTTTAAGCAAGTACCTTAGCTTATATATTCATATATAAAGAAGTCTACAATACATCATAATTAATATGCGATTTCTTAATAATTAGGATCTTTCTAATACGAAGTTTGAGGAATAGGTTTCTATCTAATTAACAGTACAAAGAATGGAGAAAGCATATGAGAACAGTTAGGGGGTTAAATGGAACCTATATCAAACACTATCAAAATACTGTAGATCAATTACTTGATAAATACTCATCAAAAGTGTGTATGCTGATTCACTGGAAAATAGCTCCCAATTTTCATTTGTTTTCCTGTTCGTAACTGCTCAGTCTCTGTGGCTTTTTCGGGATTATGTAAACGTTTTTAATACATGGTTTGGATAGGTTTTATGTGTGCTGTCCTAGAAACTAACTCGAGGATTATTCTAAGTAAACATGAGTGAGGAGTTTATAGTGACACTCTGTAAATCAGTAAGTAATTAACTCATTCACTAGGTACTTGGATATGAGTGTCAGGGCTAATGATACTACCTGGTTAACCAAACTGAGGTATATATAGTGGAATTCGAGTATGAGACTTGGTGTCTGAAAGTCGAACACATTGTCCAGTCAGTCAGTCAGCTACAACGTAGGACCAGGCACATTTATGCATCGGTACAAGTCGCCATACCTCGTTAGCACAACAAGATGAACACCGGATTAATAGAAGTAGTTAATTTAGTGGTGGTAATATATAAAAAAGGTTGTCCACTAAACCAAATTTTAGTAGCATAAGAAAACATCTCTGTGCACAATCCATAAGGTCGCCAAACCAATTCGTAACAACTTGTTATATATTACCCACTGAGCCAAGCAAAGTGAAGCTTTATGATCAACTGATCAACAAGTTTCAAACATTTAGAGTCAAATATAGATCAACCTAAACCCTAGGTCTATAAGTTGTGGATGGTTTGAAAAGTAAGATATAATAGCTTCGTCTTATTCATCAGAAAAGGTCGACGAACATTTCCAGAGATCTTTTACAAAAAACCGAGTGATTTCCTTACGAAAATTCACACAAAACAAGTCACATACAAATAGATATCAACGAATCGCGAGATTTAGCTTCAACTCCTAAATTTAATTTTTCCGTTAAAACGTGGAGTCACAGACAGTTAAGCACAGTTCAAGCGTTTTCTTCGCCAGATATTTCATTTCGTTACCATAAACAATAGGAAGTGTTGGTTGAAGTAGACAGGCAACTCAATATTCAGTGTTCGAAGATTCGAACCCACTGTTTTGTGCTCCTTTCTTAATTCGAATACCACTAACATGAAATATATATTTAAATTATCTAAGTTTCTCTCAAGACCCAGCTTTCGATTTATTTTTACTTACTTATCACTAAAAGCATTAACTTTTGTTGGTTTGAGTGGTAAGTTGGTTATCATCATGATTTCTTTAGTTATATGTCTCATATTGTACCTACCGGATGTTATTTCGAGTTATCTTTACACGTTCTTTCTATAATATGTCATTTTTTGTATTTTCCTTAACTACTCAAAGGTACTATGGGCTTTCTCAATTTACTTGGAATCGGTTGCTATCATGCCTCAGTTGTTTATGATTAGCAAAACTGGCGAAGCTGAAACAATCACTTCTCACTACTTATTTGCGTTAGGATCATACCGTGCGTTATATTTGTTCAACTGGATATACCGTTATGTTTTCGATGATTATCTCGACTACATTGCTGTTGTTGCGGGTATTGTACAAACATTATTGTACTGTGACTTCTTCTATTTGTATATAGCTAAAGGTAAATTAAATATTTGATTTCGTGTATGTTTTTAAGTGACTGAAGGCAACTGTTAGTATATGTTATCCACTAGTTAACATAGCTGCTCCTATGCAACATGTCTACATTCATGTTGTTATTCGACTCGTTTATTTACTGTTTCTAGTAACTTCTAGTGTTTCAGTAAAAAATCTATTTTGGAAACAATGTTTCAACCAACAATTAAGATATAAGTAAGTAGTTAGCCACTACCCACCTCCTAACTACCATGACTATTTTAATCAGTCTCCTTCACTTTTGAGGTGCATTAGTTACGTCTTATAATTCATTTTAATTTTCATAGTAAAAATCTCATATACATGGTTTGTCTGTAAAACTGACGCCCGACATTTTATTGACTAATAGTTTGTTTCCTGAATACGTTTTAAAGTTATGTTTAATCTCATATGTTTAAGCAGAGAAATGAGAAGAAAAATTTTGTGAGATAGTACCATTTCGTGCTTTCTCGTCAGTCACATACAAGCAACATGTTATTCGTGTAAATACAGTTTTGAAGATAAGGTCAAAATTTCTTATTTAGCATGACATTCACTTACTAGAACCATGGTAAACAAAGGTCAACGTACAGTTGTTTTTGAACACATAAAGTTGGACTTTTCCGACCAATCAAGATAGCTTCGAGTAGTTTGAGTGTGTGTGGGTTTTGATGACATGTCACAACTCTAAAGGCTGATTTTGGGTCAATTTGATGACCACTCATCATTAGATGTTTTGCAATGGACGAGGCTGGGTTTCTTGATCGATCTTGAGATGACGGGCTAGGTGGATGAATCATGGATTTGATTAACCATCTTGGAATATGTTCCCCTATCCTGTCCTCCAATCGGCGATCTGTCCTACCTAAGTAACTTTCTCCGCAGTTACATGTGAATTGGTAAATACAGTGGGATTTGGACTGAATCGGTCTTGGAGACTTGATAGGGTTAAGTGAGATCGACTGAGTTGTTGTGATAAGCCTCAGATTAGCTGCATTGAAGGTCTTTTTTATTGCAGCTGCAGTCTGTTTGGTTGTAATTTTCATATGTTTAATTAAAATAGAGCTGGATACTCAGTCACTCGACGATACGATGATGAAAGGTCACTTATATCCTTAACCCAATATATTCTGTTTCAGGGTTCGAGAAAAGCCAGTATAGTACATAAAATTGCTGTCGTTATAAGTCTTTGGACACAGTAATACTCAAATTCTTGGCTGAAACTTGTTGGTTTAACTTTTTGTACTGTGTTTGCTTCACAAAAATACGTTGTACATCTTCCAGAGATTTGATAAAACACTCGTTAATTAAGGTCCAGACTTTTATATTAGGTATAACTTGTTCTTGATAATAGCCAATTTGACGATAAAACTAGCTTTTCTGTTTAAACTACGGATAAGGGCCTTATTATTCACAACTTAAATGGATACATTTAGCTTGTGTTATTTCATATTAATCAAAAATGCATTACTAGAGACTGCTCATTAGTATTATCCGTTTGCGCTCCGTTTTGTAGGATTCGACATTAATTACGACCTAGTTGCACAGAACTAATGACCAATTCTACTCATAATCAACTTCACCTAACTAACTAACTAACGTATCTCTTTCTTTTGTTTACAGTTATGAAAGGACGAGACTTACGATTACCTGCCTGATCTCTACTAATTTCCAATATTTCTTTCTTCGACTTCATGATGTTTTTGCTTTGTTTCTCTATAGTTGTGTTATAATATAAAATGGTCTTATGCATCATGTATTTCTGTTAATCCATTTCTGCTTACGGTCCTTTGCTATGACGAAACCAATAATAAAAAAATACTTGGACGACTGGTGATTGACATACATTTAATTACGGAGATCAGACAGCTTACTCCTTTTTGGAGTCGATTTATTTATTTATTTGAACACATAAATATTGGTACAAAGGGGCACCGAATACACATGCGCCATACAATAGCAACGAGAATGTGAAGAGATGTAAAACGCGTATAATAAAAAGGAGAACAATAACGAACAGAAATTAGTGTATTACAATGAAAAATAATAATGGGAGAGGCAGTTCACTTAGCAAAGGTACAGCCATAAAGAATTCTTCCAGTTAAAGAAGTTACGTTCACTTTTATGAATAAAGTTACAGCAGGGTCGCCATTGGCTTCTATTCTGAGCCATATGTGATAACGTCTCAAGCCACTGTGTGGTACCATCTCTAGGACCACAACCAGGGATTCGTGAAGGAACAAGAGAGGCCAGTTCTGTACAGCTTTCTTTCATACCACGACACCATGTCATACACTGACCACTTCTCTGCCTTTTCCAACCAGTCCCAGCGTCGGCAAATAATGCACGACGTTGAATTCTCTGGGACGACACTCGTAGAACATGTCCAGCATAAGGGTCCTGCCAGTCTTGTAAAAGAAATTTGCACTTAGAAGGTGGAAAGCACATACCATACCTACGGAGTCGAACTCAGAATTTGAAGCAAACAAATACCATTAAACACAAGGAGGAATAAAACTTATTTGTATGCAAAGAATCCAACCGAAATAATACTATTTTTTGACGAGTTAACCAACCCCATAATCGTCGTGTCAGTCCTTCATTTATAAATTGATGGGTTAATTTAAATGAACACCGTATTATTTTAAGCTTAATTATTGTGCATAATCTAAGTGGCGTCTCTCACTTCAATTATGTACAGCTCTTAAAGTACAATATTTTCAACGAATAGTCCTTCCATCAATAAAGAATATCGTTTCCAAGTGTTAATCGACCAGGATTGTAAAAAAACTAGCAGAATTGTCTCTCACCAAATTGAGAATTTAGCTTCTCTATTTATTTATGGCCATGTTTATTTCAAGTGTGCATAGCTTCACAGGTTGCTTATTGTCTTGTGAACACAGCATCCAAACTTAATCTCTACTCGAAATGAATTACGTTTAGTACAAACATTTGATCGCATTCAAATCTGTACCACTAATATTTACGGTGTCATTAAAGTTAATAAAAATCTAAAAACGTGTGCTTTAAGCTTCATCAGTATTTAATTTGATGAATAAATAGAACTCTCCCTGTGACATATGTCCTCTATTTTTCGAATTGCCTCAGTAGTCATGTTTCCGAAATGTCCACTTATCGATTATAACAAATCTGAAATGTATGTCAATCAACCACTTAGTTACTTTTCATATTCTTGTTCTTACAATTTAAGGTCTCGTGAAGTTAATTTAGTCTTTACATTTACTTACTAGCGTGGAGAAGCTGTTAATTAGTGACACCCAATGATGTACAGATATGTTGGATTATATTTTTTCTATGTAGTAGCTCCTGATGACTGATATTCCCCGTAATAACAATGTGAAAGTCTAACATTCTCTTCATCTGAGTAGTTAAATCTAGATAAATCAATCATAAATCGATTTCTATGTGTACTATTGGTTACCATTTTGCCATGATTACTTAGAGATCAGTATATATCTTGTTAATATATGTGATATGAGTAAACCACGTTAGAAGGTTACATTACTTTTGGCACCTCTGGTGAAACTTAAAATACAGTTTGTCATTTCTTGTTCATTGCACAATGGTGTCAATCAGATGAGTTCAAAAATATGTATAGAGATAATAAACCACTGTTTTTTTTAGATAGAAAGACGTCAGTAATTACGTTTTAAATGAATAGACAGAACAGAAAAGTCGGATTCTGTGATCATTATTTCGAAAGCTATTACAGAAAAATTGAGGGAGCAGGATACTTCTCAAGTTTATAATATTGAATAGATTAGAAAGGGAGGTGAAATATGCAGAAACGTTTTGACTGAAAATTAGAAAACAACATGCTAAAACGACAAATAAAGTGGAAATAAGGATTATGAACATTGTCAAGTAACTGGTTCCATGTGCACTCTTGTTCAGAAAATTAAATCTAAGGTATATAACAGGCAAAGACTTTTTCAGCTGACTTAAACTTACACGCAATCACTCAGAGCGAATGGTAAGTCACAATTAGTTAAAGTGTTTACTTATATATATTGGATGCGAAAACTCAAAAATGGTAGAAATTGTTCATTCACCCAACTGATGTAGTACTGTAACTGCAATTTACCTAACTTTTCAACACTTCCTCTTGGTTTCTCCTATCCATACTCACAGATGCCATTGAAAGTTCTTTCCTTTCAAGAAAATTCTCAATAAGCTAATTTTATAAACAGAAACATCAAGCAGAATATTGTGAATGATTGTGATCGAATACGAATGCCCATGTACGTGTACTAGAAATATTGAAAGCAGAGTGAACAATACCAAAACGAAAATCGCATGCAAAGGTAAGTATCTTATTTATGAAAGTCAGAAACAATCAATTTGACGAAATGAAATCATTTACAATAGATTAATGATTAAGTACGGTTTAAATCAATTTGGTATGCATAATCAAAAGTTCCTAAAAAGAACAAGTGAGCTACAGGAACCAATAGAAGAAAAGAGCAGCGATAATTGGGATTTATAGTTACACATTCGAGGCGAATAGTCTAGTTTGAATGGTAAGATGATTCGAATGCCTGACACCAACAGATGCGAATGAACAGTCCACGAGTATTGTGTGACAAATAAATAAGAGACATTAAGCGCGAAATATATTGTATATCTAGGTGGTAAGTCAAGTAATGTTACACCTATTAAACGATCGAAATTAAAATATGTCGTCATCCAATAACCGATAGATAGTAGGAAGATGAATTTTAAATAAAACACATGTGCACCAATGCTCTGGATTACAAGTCGCAATTCTCGTTTCAACTAAAATAATGGTAATTGCTAGTACTTGATTCAACCCGATTGGTCATTAGTTTATGGAGCTAAACGATTAAAACTAGTGGTAAATACGTTTAGGGCAAATAGCTTACCCCAATAATAAAAATAAATGATGCTGAGGAGACAGACCTATTGAATAAACCGTGAAGTTAATTTCCAAAGATACCGGAAAATCCGATTCAAACATTTGTTCTCGTGCCACTGACAGTGAGGAATAATGGAATGTCAGATTTACTGGATGTGTAGCTATATATGCGGCAAAATTAAGCATTGCTTTACTGTGACGCTAAATTACATGTAATCTTTTCCAACGATGAGCTCCTCCATGGGTGTATATCAATTCCACTGTTCCAATGGAACTACTAGTATAGATCTTACTCACAGGGCTCTATCCTTGTGTGCTTGTGAACATGTACTGGGATGGTTTGTCAAAGTAGTTTGCAGGAAGTGTCATGATACCACTTTTATAGTACGACGAGTGTGCTATCAATCGATGTCGTTATTGGTACCATCGTTGGTTTAACGTAGAATGTTTTTGAGTGCCGTTGACAGTTTTCTGTCAGTAAGTGTCGAATTCTAGCCATATGTACATTTATCAGACTAACTGTAAGTACAGAAGCATAACCGTGAATAGAAGTCGTGATTTCGTCGCATGAAGTTACTGATCACTTTGTAGTCAGACTTTTAAAAGCTGACAACTACAGTTACATCCATTAAGAGCCATATACTGCAGAATGAGGGCAGAAGTTGCACAAAGTAGTTGTCTTTATAGAATGATAAACGACGAGTGCTATATATTTGTTCGATAACTGAACCGAAAATCATTGAAGAGAACAAAAGAAACAAATAGTGTCTCTCTGGACTGATGTCACTGTTATCGGTGCGAAAAATTCTCAGTGTACGGGTAGATGTGACAATGTCCTTTTAGTTGGCGGTAGATTCGCTCGACTGAGTAAACTTGTGATTTTCCCAAATGATTCCATCGCCAGACTACCAGATGAACTGGAAATGTTTTAAGTCTTCAAGTATTCGGACGACCAATTTATGTACCGAAATTATCTGTTAGATAACGGCCACAAGGAAACAATACTTCATGTAATGAACAATTATATAAGTCAGTCGACTGACAAAGGTTTGATAGTGATTTCGATTGTATCGACAATATTTCGAGATATACGACACATAGTGTCGTTATAAAATCATCATTAACAGCTTGAAAATACCTACAAAATAGTAAAAAACAAAGAATGTTTGAGAGAACAATTGTTTTCAATAACTTCATTATCAGGCTTTACATTTATAAGACCATAATCATTGTGTTATTTTGCAAAGGCCAAAATAAGGCGTGCATTAATGAATTTGAAAATGTTATATGTTGAAAATGGTGAGCATTGGCGTCTGTTATTTGTAAATTAAAAAGGTCATTTAACCAAGATCAGAATGATTTGTAGTGGAATGTCAAGTTAGAATCAGTATAACAGCATAATACTAAATCGTATAGATAAAATGAGTAGGAGGGGAATTTCGTCTTGTAAATTGAGGTATTAATAATAATAATAATAATGACGTCGTGTGGATAAAATATGTAATAAGTGAGGTGTTGTTAATGTAACTACTGTAAAAAAAATCCACGTGATTTGAGAAAGATGAATGTGTAGATTAAGAAAGATAGAAAGGCAAGATTGTTCCTTAACTAATTCTCCATACTAACAAGATGCATTCTCAATTAATTTCCACTTCAGTCAATTGAAACACATATTTTAGGAAATTGTCCAATGTACGGGATGCAAATACATTTTCGTACATCAATTTCGGAATCATATTAAGTTTACCGCATATAGTGAATTGAAAATATATTTGTCAAAAATGTAGGCAAAAGGCAGGAGCATCAGTGGTGTAGATATTTATCAGAGTTATCGTTGACATGACCTCATTCTGT